TATTTACATTAATGAACGTAGAAAAACTTATTTAACAAGAACATAAGAGCAGAAGAAAACAAACGAAGACTTGCAAGGGTGGGTTTGGAAGTAAATAGTTGACTAACCAAGAACTGTTGGCCTCTGAACAGCGACGTAAAGAACTAAAACATAAGACCTACTTGACAAATAAAAAAAGCGAAGGGGGTATTACTTGCAAGGTTGGGGTGAGAAGTAGATAGTTGACTAGCCAAGAACTGTTGGCCTCTGATCAGTGACGTAAAGAAGTAAAATATCAGATTACAGGAAGTGCTCCGAAAGGATTAGCCATCGTTGTCGTCAAAAAATGACGTCATTAACAATATCACCTTATATTTGTTTATACACGGGTGTTAGTTTAGTGTCTTACTCAAGATTTTAAAACTCAACCAACCCGCTTCGGGGGGTTGGTCAAGTGTTTAAACCCCCCATTCGGGGGGGTTAATTTAGTTTCTTACTCAGGGGTTAAAACACTTGAATGAGACACTAAACTAACTCCCCTTTGGGACTAACCAAGGTTGGTTGCGTTTTACAAACTTGACCAACCCCCCTAGGAGCTCCGAAAGGAGCGCCCTGCTCTAGTATTAAAAACTTCTAAACTCTTAACAAATCATTTCAATGCACACTTTAAAACAATTATAGAAATAATAAACAATGAAACTACAACCATAACAAAAGAAAATTCAACAATATACCTTATTCAGATAATTCCTAAAACCTTTCCAAACATAAATCTTATGCCCACAATAGTAAATAAAATTAAGAGTATAATAAATTCTCTCAAATCAAAAAATTAACATGGTTATGATGAAATATAAACAACTTTACTCAGAAGCTGTGCAGACTTCATATAGAGTGCCTTTAAGTTATCTTGGTAATCAGTCAGTAGCAGTATGAAATTTTCCAGAATGAAGTTAAATCTCTCTATTAGGTGAAAAATCATGCTCTTTACTCTTTCTAGAAATTGTATTAACCTCTTTAATGACTTAAGTCGGTATCTTGCAATATTTCCTGTAGCAAATTTTCATTACTTGGTTGTTAGTAGATTGACTATTTTGGCAAAGATCTCATTTATGTTTGTAAGATGTTTTGATGCCTTTAGTCATCCACTCATTATTTTCATATATATTTTTCAATGTTTTGATGGGGAACTTGCTTCAATATTTTAAAAAGATATTTAGGAATGTGTTGAATTTTTGATCTACATCACAGCTGTTTAATACTGAGACTCAGTTTTTATTACATAGATGTCTTATAAATTCTTTAATAGTGTCTTCATTTATATCTCATTTGTTTCCTGTAATTATGAAAACTGCAGACTGATTCTATATTTTTTTATAACTAGAAGTTGTGCATCACAATCAGACAGCCCACCTATCACCAGTTCAAAAGAAACAGGAACTGTCTATAAAACATTGCCAATGGCAGTATTAGAATAATTTTGAATTCTTGTGGGGAAACATGAGATTAAAAGATGCTAGCAGAGAGTTTAGACATTGTTTGTGGTAACTTTCAGTAAGATAATTAATATTAATGTCGACACAAATGATAAACTCAGCTGTAGGTTTGTAAACATAATTTATATTGCTTTCTAACCTGTTTAAGAAAAATTCAAAATCTTCTGTGGGAGTTCTGTATATAGCTAGGATATATATGTTGGAGTGTTTAGATTCCAAATTGCATAACAGAATTCTATGTCTTGTTCTTTGCAGTGAAGCAGTACATTTAAATGGTTAAATTTTAAATTATTTTTAACAAAAATACTCATGCCTCCTTTTGCCACATTTTATCTGCAGCAACTAGCTCCTAAAGTATAATTTTTACGACTGACTTGTAAGATCTCTGATGTGTCCACTTAAAGGAAGAATATGGGGTGTGAATGTATGATTAATGGACAGTGATAATTCATCAGTTTTGTCTGAAAGTCCTCTAATGTTCTGATGGTATAACACAAAACAAAAAGTGTTAAGCCAGCATTGAAAAATTATCATTTATCTCACTCCAACTCAATGTAAGAATTTACTTCAACTAAAACTTATTAAATACTGTAAACAGTTATTAACAAAGCTGTAATTAATTAATTTGTATTGGTCAGGTTGGTAGTAAAACATCCTAGTGGGTTATGCTGAATCCTGGTTTTTTCTGTACTTCACTTTCCACATAATGTTACTTGAACAACACATTTCGGACCAATGTGGCAATCATGAAATTCAATTCTCTTCTTTGACATGATTGCACTAAGGACCTCCTTTGTACTGGTATTTTATTTGTTGATATACATATAATGATATGTTCCACATCCTTGGCATGTATTATGGAAAATCAATGGAAAGTGAATACATTAAATTCTATTCTATCCAACTCTGAAAATCTGGTCATCCCTTAAAAAGAAGTGGCTGAACACTTACCATAATTGAAGTATCCAATGCTTAAACCACTCACTACAAAAAAGAGATGTTGATATTGAAGTAGGTGTCCATATAATGTGTGCCTATGTATTATAGCTAGTGGATATCCTGAAATTAGATTACAAAAATTCAAATACTCCAACGTGCAGCAACAAAATCATACTATACGTGGTCGAACATGTTCAAGATAACCTCATAAGTGTGTCACACTGCTTCTTTACAAATTCCTTATATTCTACAGGTAAAAATTAATAAATCCATGTGAAATATATGCAATTGTACATTACCTATTAAAACTGACACCAACAAACGCAGTGCTGGCTCCGGGGCTCCTAGTGAGTATGCCAACTGGCTTAATAACGTACCTCTCGACATACTCGCACCATCCATGTTTGATTTTAAAATAAGAAAAATGCCGAGTACGAGATTGATTGAAGCGGTATTTCAAATTTCAGACTCAACAAGCAACGAAAATGTATTTTACACAAAAAACACGGCCATATCATAAACCACGTTTCTCGTCAGAAACGAATAACAACCATCACTACACATTAAATATGTCTACACGCTGTTATACTTGTCTTTAGCCACAATGTACGTAAAATCATATACCATAAGTAATATGAATGCACAGAAACTGTCCTTTGTAAAACGTATCCACGAATGGCAGACAAAGAATTGTGTCTGAACTACTACATGAACCTCAATCCTACATCTCAACATGCACTCTAGACCGTATCACGTACTATAGCTGTCATTTATGGGTAATTCCATTTTACGCTGCGCGCCCTAGATAACCACGTTTCGCAAGTTTTATCGGAACAAGTTTTCTGGTTTTATTACATAATTGACAGACACACTTGTTCAACCGCTTATATAAATTAAATGTCACGTCATAGTACGTACATCATAGGAAGCACGTAAGTGAAATATTGAGCATATTGTCAACTATTCGCATAACGTGCAACATATGAACTTCACATTTGGCATCAGAACAGAGTATACATTCCAAAAACAAACATGAAAATGTGAGGGGGAGAATGTCTTCTAAAAAAATTCTGTATTGAAAACAAAACACTGTAGTGTTGACATTAAAATTTTAGACAGGAATTCCATGGAGAAAGGGTCCACTGTCACACTGCAAAACTGGATCCAAATCAAAGGGCTTTAGTCAATAGGTTCCCTATAACAGGGTACATAACATACTACTGCACTTTAAAATGTAAACAAAGAGTACTATGGGTGACCATCAAAGTATCTGTTGCTTAAATCAACTGTACTAATGTCAATCTCAAATAAAATGTCAAACAAATCAGGCCCACAATAAAGTTAATAAAAGATCTAACAGCAAAGTTGCTTTCTCTTAATATTACTGAATGTAATTTTTCTGGGTTGTACCACCATGTAATCTGGTAGATGTTTACCAACATTTCAGAGGTCCCTGCTGCTTGCTGTCTCCCATCATCAGGGTGATGGACTATACAGTACTACAGCCCAGAAGACAGCAATCTTCATACTCACCACCATGAGAACTTCAAATCATAATCTCCAAGTCCATGCAGAGATGAATAACATCCATGATTCAAGCTCAGAAATTCTGGACATCTTACTAAAGTGTCAGGTCTTGAAACCAGTTCTTGTAAGGGCTAATATACTAATTCATCTTTTGTATAAATAACTGATATACTTTAAGAAAGAAAGATGCTTCTAAAGTATGTGCCTTTTTTAAAAAATAAATTTATCTACAGTCAGATTCAAACACAGAACCTTTAAATCAAAATGCCAATAAACAATATATCATTGAAAAATAAGAGATACCTGCTTCCCTCACACTTCTAGCCTCACCAATGCAGCATAAATAATAACAATTATTAGCTACCTTTTGTCTGTAGTCTGATGACAAGACATGAATATATATTTCTTTAAGCAGGATTTGAGTTTCTCACATCTGTGACTATGAACATGGCTGTCTTCTGAGTTGTAGCACCATGCAGTCTGGTAGTGACTCATCACCCTGATGATGGAGGCAGCAAGGACCTCTGAAACGGTGGTAAACTTCTACCAGACTACACTCACTACAACCCAGAAGACAGCCATCTTTATATATTTAATTTTCTCTGCTTTTACTTCTAGACCAACCTCCTTACAAACATCTACTACAGCTTCTGTATTTTAATTTGTTTTCACCCAATAAATTAAAATCAGGAGCAAAGTGCAGAAGCTGATATATCTCGCTCAATTCCACTCCCTCTTTGTTTTCTTGAACCTCCCTGATGGAATAAGTCAGAACTGTTATCATTGTGCTATCCCGATTAGTTTTTGACATGCCTAAATAAGATAAGCACACCTGCTGATGTAGCAAACTGTTCAAAATCTGGAAGGATATCATAAAATCCCTTTTATAACTGCAAACGTTTTTGTAGATGGCACACTGGATGCAAAAACATTCAAGAGAATATTAATGTATTCCAGAACAATATCATAAGTTATTATGTACCTGTTTTCACCCTCTGTCTCAGAAGAGAAAGCATGCACAGGCATGGACTGGAATCTAATTACAGTAAATAATGCAGCAGATCCTAAAATTATATTTATATACACTTATGCAGTAGTCATTACTTCTGCACCTTGGACAACTTACCATATGAATAAAAAAATGCAAGACTCCTGAATATAACATAAAAATGGAAGTATATTTGTGCACACCTTGCATTGTTTGATCACATTACATAAAATATTATATTATGCCATCATGTTCTTAAACAGAGGTCAATTAAAACATTAAATAACTGCATGAATGTAACACACAGTATGTCAATAACTTATAATTGGTGTTCACACGGAACTACAGCGTGCTGCTATTATTACAGTGTTGTTAACCAGTTTAACAGGCATCAAACTGAAATTCTGTTTAAGAAAATTCTCAGCCACTATATTGTTTACATAGTACAAATGAAAGTCAAAGCTAAATTAGGCCCCAAAACTCAGTTTTGCAAAGCAAATACTATTTTTCAACTGAAGTCAAAGAAAAAGTCATTGAGTTGATAATTCACTGCACTTGGCATGGAATGTGAATTCTTTTGTCACAAATCACCCACAAATTTCAAAACATCACTGGAACTAAAATCAGCTTAAAACACATCCCTATTATCAGAATTATATATATAAAATCTTGTATCATGAGAACTGAAAGAATATATTAATCATCTACAAAATATAACAAATATTCTGAGATGCTATATCTTGGTGAAACTACAAGTGGGAATTGTCACGACTATATGTTTGGCTCAAAAGTAATTACACCAAATACGAAAATGGCCTACAGACGTGTGAAATATGGCATATACCTCTGCACATGTCACTAGTATACTTCTTTACAGTGCAAAAGCATACCCTAATTGCTGATTCAATCGTGGCTTCTATCACAGTCTAAATTCACAGAAGTTGTTTACTACAGTAAGAATAAAAAATTTTGACAAGAAATGCCTAACAATAAATAAATGCATGTCTTTACTTATCAAGATGAGCATGATTATAATGAAAAGACAGGGCATAAGTGATGAACATACTGTAACATCATATGTATGTATTGCTGGTGTTCCACTCACATTTAGGGGTTTTATTCTCTCAATCATCAACGCCTTGTCAATGTGTGACACATTTACTTTAGATTAGAAATTATTCCTCCAACACAACTCTATCAACCTATTAAGAGTTATAACCCTACCCAAACAAGCTACGACAAAAGCAGCATCTTTCTGGAACTAAAATTATCTTTTTGAGAAACAAATTCAGTGTCAGTCAGCATTTGCCATGACTACACTGTATAGACTTTCAAACATTAACATAGTAAATCTGGCCATTCAAAAGAATGTCAAAAATCAAAGTAACTGTACCATGAGGGTGTGCAGAACATGACTACAATGCGAATTCTTTAACATCCTGGAATTATGATTTTGTTTACTGTATGTGGACATTTATAAAGCCTATGTCTGATCTGACTATTTTGGTGGCAGATACCACAAGTTTGGCAATAGCATCTGTCACTTCATTCTTCAATTAGTATACTGTTCAGGTAACACATAAGAAATATCATCCCAAGGGTGGCGGTAGAGACCCTGCTTCAGACGTTTCTGATCCATGTAATGGCCTGCAAAAATATTAATACAGTTATGTTCAGGTCAACAGTTTTTTAAATTGATAATGATTTCCACAATATCACAGTGGACCAGGAAAAACTGCAGAGAGAATATCACCACAATCATCACCATCATTATGATAATGAGATACAAATAGTTCAGCCATGACTATGAGTAAAATGTCCAATGGATATTTATTAGGCATTCACATGCATAGTATTACAAAATTTGACAAACTGAGTTAAAACTTACCAATGAAACCAATACTCCTTCCCAGAACAAAGAGACTATTAATAGCACCCATCTCTATATATTCTTGGGCTTCCTCCCTGTGGTAAAAAAAGACAATGAAATTTTAATCCACAAGCATAGCTTCAACTTCCTATCAAAGATAATACTTGTCATTCAACTTTTAATATTGTATTCTCTCTCTATTTCAGAAACAGATTTTTTCATCTCATTTGGCATGCAGAAATCAGAAAGGTCAGTCATAAAAGTAAAACAAAACTATCAACTGAAGTCAATCACACAAGTTTTCTGTTCTACAAATAATCTTTTCCATATTTCATGAGATCACTTCTCAGCCAAATTCTCAAATTGCACTTGAAGGCCAAGATTTTAACAGACATCCCAGGTACACTGAGAACAATCAGTGATAAAAAAGCACACACACATGCTATAATCATGATTTGAAACCATGATCTAAATATTCATTTGGCCCATAATTGTGTACAGCTTGTGCTCCTTGTGAATGACATCACATGTGTACTTCATTAAAATGATAACATACCTTGTGAAACTGCCACTATGTCTGAGAAGGTCAACAAAAGAAACAGCAATTACACCATCTACATTGAGAATGAGGTTTGGTTTCTTTGATGTGGTGATTTTCTCTACCTCAAGGGCATAATTCAAAAGAGGCTTGGCTGGAAAACTCTCCATTACAAATTCCTTAATAATCTTCACACGCATATCAGGATTGTTAATCTGCAAGATTAAATATCAAGTTCAGATTTAGTTAATATGAATATATGTGATTTTTGCAAGGCTATGCAGAGGGTTTAATATTTATACCACCATTCCTCGATCTTACATAATTATAAATTTTGGCAGATTATATATAATTGTTAAAAACTGGAGACACAAAGAAACAAGAAAAAAATTCTTAAATTAACTACCTAATACATATGAACAGAGAGGCAATAATATTTTAATGATTAGTAAATCAATTTAAGACTTAATTCAACTGGGTCTGCTGTCAGAATTCAACCAAAAGAATCAATATTCTCCCCCCACCCCAAGATGGTGAATATTTTAAGTAACCATTATAGCACTGTATACTTTTATGTGGAAATTTACCAGTATGCCAATTAATCACATATTATTTTAAATTTAAAAATTCTATATCAATATGACCAAATGACACACATGGTAACCAATAGTTCTTATTAATGTTACTGTAGGTTTGTGGATGTCGCTTATGAAATATAATTACAAGGAGTCCTTAATGTCATTACCTGGTTCCTTAAAACTGTGGCTGATAAAAAAAACATGGGAGCAGCATGCTGGCATGTTATGAAGCCAATTTGTTCCAGGGAGGTCATAAACTGAAGCACCAAACTCATTTTTTAGGTAACTAAACACTGATAAAGATTAGCCTTATGACGGTACAAAATCGTCTTGGCCTTCTTCCTTATCAAAGAGGAATTCACATCTCCCTTAGCATAATGATCATAAACGCATAAAACGGCTTCTCCATTTCAAGCAAATTATGTCTCCAAATCAAGGAGTTAGTTTAAATCTTTCTCACATAAAATAATGTTATTGCACTATGTATTGATGTTCACTTACAGATTTAACTCTGTGCCCAATACCCATAATAAGTTGACCTTTCTTCCTCATTGCATTCACAAATTCCATAGGGTGAAGGCCTGAATCATATGCTTCACTGAACTGCCTGGCTGCACCATCCAGAGCACCTCCAAACCTGTCACCCTTGAAGGAAATGGGAAAGCTCACACATAAATGTAATATAACAGTGGAGGGGGACATGAACAAAGACTGCATTTGAACTAAGGTTCAAAACATTTTTATAATAAATACCTTCTTTATTGCTACAGACCACAGATGAGAACAGACACATACATACTCAGTACTGCTATCAGTTAATAGTATGCAGCCCTTATTTCAACCTGAACATTAATAAGATTTATTTTGTATGCCCTCTTCATGCAAGTTGAACTTTTAATTTGGAATGGTATGTTACAATGGTAGGACAAGCAGGCTATGTACTGTGAAGATATATATTCATACAAAGATCCAAGTAGTGACATGGAAGAAATAAGAGATATTTCATTCATATGCATAGTCCTATATTAAATTAAGCATTAATGATTAATTTCAAATCTCAACAAATATTTTAATGCTATATTAAAACTCAAAATAATTCAAGAACAAAAGTTATACTTTTGCAGTCTATATGACTTTGCAGACCTTACTGGTTTGGCCATTGACATTTACTACACTGGGCCGTAAATGATGGAGAAGTTGCATTCTGAGTATAAAAATGAACATGGAACTGTGAGAAAGAATAGAAAAGGGTCAAAGATGAAATATGATCTTTTTGTCTGTGCCTTCCAGAAAAGTGAATCCACAGGGAATGGAAACCATGTCTTTCAAAGGGTCAACCACCTTCTATACAACTAAAGCTTTTTATTTAACAAAGTCTGAAGAAAAAGGAACAAATTATCTGAGAACCTATGATGAATTTTACTAAAACAAAAGTACTTACAACTGTGAGCAGACCTGAGACAAGGGATGATACAAGATCCTTGCCAGCACGAGCACAGACAATAGTATTATGTGCACCTGACACAGCTGGTCCATGGTCAGCCGTTACCATGAGACACATTTCAAAGAATTTACAGACATACGGTGGAAGACAGCGCTGGAACCACAGGAGTGACACTACACCTCCAATTCCAACATCACGCTTCAAGACCTGAAACCAATAAGCCAGAAACACTATTTATTTGCCAAATTACATATTAATCATGTTTTCATATCCAATATTTTATTGAATTTATAACACAACCATTACTATTCACTCCAGAACACCGAGACAATGAAATAAATATGAAACTTTGCGTAACTACCAATTAACAAACTAAAGAACTGTATGGCAATAAAACCTGCAGATTCAACACTGCTACTATCAAAACCCACTACTGGACATAACTGTAAACCAATTTCATCCACCACTCATTCTCACAACCACTTCCCATTACATCTTTCTGCTATCCTTCCATCTCCTTCTCACTATTCCATAATACCATATTAAATGAGGTTTCAACACCAAAATTCTGTATGTTATTGCCTTCCTCATTCAAGCTACATTATAACCTCCAAGATACCACAATCCAAACTATACAAAGAACCAACATAAACCACAGTTTCTCATTATATAATATCCTAACTTCTCACTTGCTTCATCCTTCTTGAGTCAAAAATTTTCCTGAGCAATGTTTTCAGACATTTGTCATTCATGTTTTTCCTCACAATAAGAAATCATATTTCATAACCATACAAAATAATTAGTTCATATAACTTAATCTTTGATGTTTTGTTAAGATTAGATTAATGTAAATTAAAATATAAAATCAAATTAAACTGTACTGTTAGTAACAGTTATTAAAGAACAGTCACGTAATAACAATTATTTACTCTAAAATTAAAAGTGAAATTTATTTACTGCAGCAAGTAATAGGTTTTGTCCTAGTGTTCTGTTACTGACCTAATTTGCCTCATTACTACTTTCATGTGTTTACATTTCATTAAATTCTACATATTAATCCTAGTCTAACACAAAAGTTCAGCACAAATTCTTTTAACAATTGTAACCCTCACTGTCCAGAGTTTGTACTTCAATAGACTTCACAAATTAGCTAAATATTCTTGCAATGTTTTAGCTGACTTCAATCACAGTGAATTTACATATTTTATTTCATGACAAATAAGGAAACAGAGAAGTTCCTCTTTTAATTTCTATCATTTTCATAACAATTACATTGTCTTATAACACAATAACAAAGAACTTACATCACTTATTGGCATTCCAGCATAATTCAGCTCTTGCCCTCTCTCATCACAGATGCTCGTCATAAATGAAGCTGGTTTGCGAATGAGACCCAGTTCCTGCACGACATATACATCATATATAGTTGAACAAAAACACATACAATATTGTCTTCTGTCACTGTGCCACCTGCACATGAAGTTTCCTGTACATATGACATGTTCTGTCTTTGTGTACTACAAAAATGTAACCCTTTAAAGCTGAAGCTGATCTAAATAATATTTATTTAAAGATTCAGTCCATACCATAAAAACACCTCACCATTACAAAAATCAACTGTCAATGCTGTTTAGGAAAAAAATTGCTTCTTACTCTTTATACAGAATCACAAAAAAACATATATAAACTACATGGGCAAAATGTAAAGTTACAAACTGTTAAAGCAGGCGGTGCATATAGTCCCCACTGTGCTTTAAAGATGTGAAGTATACCTATTTTGGTCACAATTTTATTTTCAATCTCTATTACAGAATCATTGTCATCCATTCATCTTTTCACCAAGTATTTTCCATTCTTGCAATCCTCAGAGATACAATAATCCTCCCTATATCTATGGCCACACTTTCCTGTCTCTGGCATTCGTAAAAGTAGTAACAGACTCCTCTGGCCAAGGAACTGATAAAAAAGAGTTTATAATTAAACCCCCTTCCCAAAGAAAAGCTACCTGCAATATTATAAATATTTCACTATTGGACAGACTTAAGCTTACAGTTTTCCTGTTTAAGAGTAGAATCTCTTCTGTCATGTCAGTGTCATAAGGCACCACTGTGTTCACTGCATGACATATGAAGTACAGAGAAAATACATACCCTGGCCCATGAATAGTCCATGGGAACTGTGGGAGGTGGAACCTCTGGTTCAGGAGTGATAACTCCAGATTGGACTAATCTATCATACACGTCATGAATTATGTCACCCAGGGAGTCAAATGAGTGTGGTACATGTCCACCAGCTTCACTCAGAGCTTTGTTCTTTGCAACAGCTGTCTCCAGATCTGAGTTGGCACATGAACCAGCATGGCCAAACTGAACTTCAGAGGTGAACATTCCTAGAAGGTATAAATAAAAATTATGTACATTATTTTCCTTACTTTTCTAAGTTATTCCAATCAACAACTGAATTAAGGTGCCTCACTTTCCATGGAAGCACTTCACCACAAGTCTCAGAATCCTTCAGTAAAATGGCAATATTGGTTTTAAGACAATAAAAAAGGCCTGCTATGTAATCTTGAAATACCAAGTGTCAATAGATAATTTAATTCTGTAGTGAGGCTCCCCCAAACACAGAACAACATTTTTACAGCAATTATAAATCTGTTAAGAAATTGGTTTACTTATGTAAATTATTCTGGTAAATGGGGGGGGGGCTGACACTTTGATTAGAAATCAGCCCAGGTCTCCCATTTCCCATGGAACTACCTTACCACACAGCTATGTGCATCTTTTTTAAATATTAAGTTACCTGCATATACTTTTAAAGAAATTCTGGATTCATGAGGTATTATACAGGATAAACATGAAAATAAATAGGCAGAAACCACAATGCCAATATATTTATGTCAGTATCTGAATCAATACCTCTTCTGTGTAAACACTCTATTCATAGATCAATTAACCAGAAATAACCTTATACTGAACAATTCTATCTTCAACAATATGCCGAAGAACTCTGTAAATGAAAAGGAGCTCATGGATAAGAAAACATTTCTATTAAGTATGACCAGACCTTGAACTATTAGAGAAAAAAAGTGTGTGCAAGAATCAGTTTCTTTTTTAAATGGACAAAGTACACAATCCATGCATAGCACACCTGCACAAGTTCCTATACACCATGCCACCAATGGTTTGTCAATGCGGCCATCCTTCAGTGCTTCACATACATCATACTCTTCCACACCTCCAACTTCACCCAGCAGAACAATCATTTTAACCTACAAGGAGAAATACGTAACTACTTATAACACTTCACACAATCCCCTTCTGATCCATTTACTCTACAGACAATTCCCATCTAAGACATATTTATCTTCAATGGAACAAAACATTTCTACATCACCTTCTACAAAATTCACTATAACACAATATCTTGGACATGACTGTACTAAATATTCTTCTTTCTTTATATATAATTCTACACTGCAAGTGATTGGATAAATAATATTATACAGACAATAATAAATGGAAGACTCACATGGAGATAGAATATGTGATATAAAGAGAGAAAATTTAATTTGCAAATATACGCATCTTGTGTGCAATATACAAAATCCTTCAAGAACTAAAGAATGGAACTCTGCAACAAATTAGAAAAATTAAAAAATCCACCACATAATGTAATGAACACATATTTACAAAGAAAGTATGTTTTAATTTAATTTGTTGTTTATTGCCAGTAAATCTTAACAAGAAATCAAAATTAAATACAAGGAAAAAAGATTTAAAGAAAGGACAAGATTGTCTTTAAAGGAAAATAATTAAACCAGAACAGAATGCAGATTGTATTTCAAATATCTTGGATGACATATTTCTTATGAAGTTACAAAAATAAAGGTAAACTGCACAAATTCCAAGTGAAAAGCATAACAATAAAAAGAACTAATACAAACGCTTGCATATCACAACAATTTTATATGGGGTAGCAGTTTCTACACTGATTAAGAAAAATAAAACTTGAGTGGAGAAACCCACTACATGACACATATACCAACTGCAAGATATGTGCCTCATTAAACATCAGAACCATGCAACAAAGAAAATGATATACCTTATTCAAAATGACACATGTTCAAATTTCATTTAACCATTATTTAAAACACTAGTGTGTCTTGCTATCAGCCCAGTTTTTATTGGGTATTTAAATTTAAAATAATTTCACTACATTACTATGGGCAGGGTCCCTTTAATTTTGGAGTAAAGGCTAACTAATCACGCAAGAAAATTCTTTCCATATACCTTTGGATCTGCCTGATACCTCATGATATGGTCCATGAAATTGGTACCAGGGTACCGGTCACCACCAATGGCTACACCCTCCAACACACCATTTGTTGACTTTGAAATGATGTTATTCAGTTCATTGGACATACCACCAGACCGTGACACATATGCTACACTGAATGGCAGAGAATAGTACAGAAAAATAAAGGAACATTATGTTACACTATTGGCTTTAAATAATATATTACAAAGAAACATTTCACTGATACATCTCTATCAATATAGGACAACACTCAATGAACACTCTTGATTGTTTCCCAGAAATACCATGATTGTGTGGAACAGCTTAAACCAAAAATAATTTTCCTACAGGAAGTAATGTAAATGAACATGGCCTGAAAAATTAAAAACTAAAAATTTGTTTGCCACCCCTAAAGCCTCGTCAGTGTTGTCATCGTCATCGTCGTCATCATCATCATCATTGTAGTCATCACAAACAACAATGACATCACTACCACAACAACTATCATCAATGTTGTTATTACCTGTTCATTAACAATACAATGTCATAACTTTTTTTTTAAAGTACCACAATCCACTTGTTTATTTCAATATTCACATTTAACCTGTTTTACCTTCTGATCACACTATGGATGATATAAGAAAGAATAGCTGGAAAGGTACTGGCAATAATTTAACACAAGTGCATCAACATAAAAGACTATAATTAACTTCTGCTTGTATCATACAATTAGGTGACTAATTTTCAAGCCCTGTGGGGAAATACAATTAACCATGTAGCTTTTCACTATCACCATAACTACTCAGCTGCTGCCCCCACCCCCCCCCCCCCCCCCCCCCTTACTACTGTTTATTTTATGATGGCACACAACAGTAAAGAAAGCAACATTTAACATAGAGTAACATAAATAAATAAAGAACATAAGTAATTGTATATAAAGATAATTTCTATTTAAACTTAAATTCACTCATTTACTTTTTGTCAAACTCCCTAACAAATATTGTCCCATTCACTTCTCACATCTTAATACCAAAACATTCCTTTCTAGAGAAGGAACAAGAATCATACAAATGGTAAGATAAGACTCTGTAGACCTCATGACTGCTGACAATTAGAAATACTTTGGTGGAGAGGAACAGAACACAAATGATGAACCATGATGGAAACAAAATCAAAATGGCACTAAACTGTGTAAAGTTGCACACATCCTATGTAATGTGGATCTACTTCACACCTCTTCTAACTACACAATGCAATGCAAATTTTTTACAAAAAATGCTGAAAATGCAACTGGGTATCAGTGTGTATTATAATAAAATAGCGTGATCTTGGATGTCACTATTTTCCTTTTTACCTGCCAGGCCTATACAGTTTGGAATGTAGGATGTTATCCATCATACCACCAGTGTTGCCAATCTTGAAACAACCAGGTTTAATACCACCAACAGTAGCTGGTCCAATTATGTTAACTCCCTTCTCTTGGGCTAAAAGGATTAACTTTCGTGTCATATTTTCTGGGATACCTTCTGCAATAATGGCAATTGTACGAATCTGTAAAGAGTAATGCAAATATCTCTAATGAATTACATATTGCCAATATAACATATAATTCCAATCTTGGTTTTATTATGTTTTAACTATTACCATTTCCATTTTTTAAACTGTGAAGTAATCATCAAAGAGAGTAATGGATTTGGACAATTTATGATAAATGAACATGTACATAGCAGACTGCTGGAAAGATGTGAAAAAGTTCAGAACATTCAACTCCATAGAATCAAATTATAACCTAGAAATAGCCATGTTCATGTGAAATCTCAATCATTAGTGTTGGTCTAAATATGAGCTGTGTTATTTAATAGTCTCTTTAGTAAGTTACAAGGTTCAAATATTTCAAACATTAGTTTTTGTGATCTAAAAATACAGACTTGTGATATCTTGATTTGGAGGAGAAACCTAAAAGAAGTTAAATATGCATTACAATATTGAGACTATGACTTAAGGGCAAATGTTGAAGAAAGTTGTAACATGATTAATGAGAAATCCGCAAATACCTTGCTAACAAATAAATAAACATAAATTAATTGTTTACCTGCAGTAATAACTATGTTAACATTCATAACTGAATAAGCTGCTCACAATCTCTTTGCATGGATTTCATTTACTTTTCAACAGACAGCAAAATGTTTCCTGAACATTATAAGCCCTAGAATGCTAAACTGTTCTAAACCGATTACATGTTTACAAAATTGAAGTTGTTTCCTGCCGTTTTACTTGCATAAACAACCCCCCCCCCTTCCCACTTCAGTTGCTTACCAGTAACTACAATGAATAGTGTATTTTTGTTAACCTGAAATTTTCCTCAGAATTCTCAGAGAACTGGCAAAGCATATGCAAATGAAAGAGTATGCAGAAATGAATCAGATAATAATTTGGAAAATAAAATCATCTGAAAGAGGGGAGGGGGAACAGGATAAAAACATGGGAAAACATGAAATGTATGGAAAATAATGAAGGAAGAGAGACCTCTTGAGACTTAGGCATAGATGGGAGATTATGTTACCTGAAATAAACTGGTTTAAGGTAGGGTACAATAATGGAGTTCAGGTTCCAGTTGAATAACTTCAGCTGCTGAAAGATTTTACAACATAATCCTATTACCTGTGGGTAATTCATGGTGTCAATAGTACTTTCATAGGCTGATCGGAGAGATGCAAAGTTAACAAGTACATCTGCATCCCTGTGCTTTGTCATTGCATCATCCATTCTCTTATATACTGCAAGAATGAAACAAGCACTGTTTTCACATAATATCAGTTTGCAATGATATTAAACAAGGCTCCAGAAATATCACTCAAATAAACCAACAACTTCACAAAATCCACTACGTGATATTATAATAAATACAGTACAATGGAATGTTATGTTCATAATGCATAACATGCTTTCCTGCACAGTGGAACTAAATATAAATGACTGTGAAAGAGTTAATTTGAAACAGAACTGTTTATTTTGCATTTTCACAAACCTGTTCACAGAAAATTAATTTGATTCTTCCTAGCAATGAATGTAAAGTTTAGGCTTTCATTTGAGCTTAGTGATTACATTTGAGATATAATATAGTAAGATATAATAGTACAATTTAGTCAGATATAATACTTATATAGACATTAAAAATAAGGATAATTTTAGAAATAAAATTATACCTGGAATTAAAATTTCTTTGTGTCCCCAGTAGTACTTCTGTTTGTGGTCTCCTGTGAAAGGGTATACCATTGCAACCACCGAAGGCTCTGACCGTCGGCATACAAAGTCAAAGTCTAACATGCTCTGCAAACAAAGAACAGAAATCTATTATAAACGAAGCAGGATTTGAGGTACTCACGACAGTGAGTACAAAAATGGCTGTCTTCTGGGTTGTAATGCCATGTAGTCTAGTAGAAGTTTACAAATGTTTCAGAGTTCCTTGCTGCCTCCATCATCATGGCTACAACCCAAAAGACAACCATGTTCATATTAATTACTTTACATTAGGTATATGTGTAGTGTTCCCTGATGAAAGATCATGAGATATCTTACATTTTAACAAAGTTAAAAGGGGCAGATCAAATCTAACCAGATTTCTAAGTAATCAGAAATCATTTTACATGTCTAAAAAGTCTGGTAGAAGATATCAGAAACACTGGTAAACTTCTACCAGATTATATGGTTTTACAACCCAGAAAACAAACAGCTCCCTAGTAAAGCTCAAATCCAATTTCAAACCAGTAAGTAATGATCATAAGTCTAAATATGCAATCAAAACCCAATCACAAACAAAAATTTTGTACTTTTTATAACTTAGTATTTCATATTAGTTCTACAGAACTTCTATCGGATGGACTCTATAGAAGAAAACTTCTTAGTCAGTCTGTTTTCACAAGATACTTACCTGGACTGCCCGAGTCTGCATTCCCCAAACAATGGCTTTTGTCTTTTTTGTGAACAGAACTTCATATGAGCTTTTTGTATCCCCTCCTGCTGCTCTACTGGCTGCATTTGCTGCTTCTTTAAGCACAGAGGTAGTTAAAGAAGAGGAACTAGTAGATCCCTTACGTGATTGTAGAGGACTTTCCTGTGAATGGAGTAAATGAAAGATTTATACTGCATGAGACAGCTTGAATGACTCTCAATTACCCATGGTACTAATGTCAAGAAAGCATAAAAGCTAAAAGCAGTGTTCTGTATCATACAATGTGAATGTTGCTTTTTCAAAAATCAAATCAAAAATAGACTGATCCACCCACCTGCTTACACTGCTTATGGCAAAATAAATCAATTTTAATTTTTATATAATGTATGACTAATACATAAAATACTGCACATTAGGAAAGGAAATCCAATAAAACCTGTATGCAACCATAATTTAGTAAAACCTCTTACCCATTATCACTATGTAACAAAATGGTAAACACAAACTTACATGGCTGGAAGTATATAAAAAAAATGCTTTCTTAATAATTACACAACTGATGACCCACTAATGCGCATAATTTTCACTACTACAAGTTGCCATTACATTCAATTTGTCAGACATAACCTTGAAGTTCTATCTTGTTACCTTGTATGTAACTGAATAAAATAATTAATTAATTATTGCAACCAAACTACACACTAACTGTAAACTTTGTGTAAATGGCATACAGTTGTTTTGCATTCTACAAAAATTTGACTGAATAAAAACTGAAAATCTTTTGAAGATCTGTTATATAAAATAGTGCTAGTGTTTCACCAATCTCCAATCAGTATTTCTGATGCTAGGGAATTATATATACAAAGATTAGGGTAGCCTCTGATAGCATGATCTGTATCTCCATAAAAATCTGCCAATTGATTCAACCATTA